CCGAACACCTCCGCGCTCTCGGGAGCGCCTTGTTTTATACCAATGTTGGGTCTGAGTCGAATCTCTTGTCCTCCCGGCACTTGTCCTATCAAGCTGTACGTGCGTAGCTGGGCCATGAGGTATCGCAGCTCGTGGTCGACATCTTGATGAGCGAGTCTGTCTTTCAGAAATTCCACGATTTTCTGCCTGTCGACCCTATCAAACGCACCTGAGATGTCCAGTTTGCACAACAGGGTCCCCAATTTCCATTCCTGCGTGACGTCCCGAATTCTGGTGGCTGCCCCGATGACATCAGCTGCCTGTCGTCCCTTGCCGCACCCAGAGATTTTGGATCCCGTGCGAAGCAGTGGAAGGGTTCGGCTGCAGACCATCTTGGTGATCATCTTATGAAAGGCAGAGCTAATGCATATAGGCCTCAAGTCACCCGCCCTCGTTGGAATATCACACTTGGCGAGCAGAGCTAAGAAATTGTCATCCCAGTGTGCAGGTAGCTCCAGGTTCCTCACAATATGATTGATGAGCTCCAAGATCTGAGGCCCCACACAGTCATCACTCATTGCAGCTCGTAAGAACGACACGCTGATCCCGTCTGGCCCAACTGCACTCGCGACTTTCATGTCTTGTAAGACCCCCCGTGCTTCCAGAATCGTGAAGACAACAAACTCATCCCAAATTTCAATGGCATCAATTTGCTGTTGCAATAGATCGTCCCAGTCATCGCCATACTCATTCACAAGCTTGGCCTCAAGATGTTGCTGAACAAGCGCTGTGTTCTCGGTGGACGACCTGTTCTCCAGCATGCGGCCCCACCATCCTCGTCGTCTGGTCCGCTCACTTTGAAGAGCACGGTATTGGAACCAGTCCCCATGGAGGATCTTGGAGAGTCGGTCATTCTCCCAATCACGTCGGGCACGGCGTCGTACTTTGTGAACCCTTTTCCAGGCCTTGGGGTCGTTGTTCTGCTTGGCAGCACGAATCATGTCCTTGACTTCAGGCGGGTCCTGATAGGACAGTGCATGTCGAGGTCGGGTGCAGCTCTTTGCCAGTTGGACGACATCCTCAACATCCACAATCTCAGTATGCGGAACTTCTCCAACTATGAAGCGAGGCCTTGAATCATTGCCCCACTGGAAGGACGAGCTGTTCCGCGAGAAGAGATCACACATGACTAAAGCATGGTCAGTTCCTACAACATGTCGCCTATCCGCATCAATGGTGACATCCGAAAGTTCCACCGATCTCGCCCACATGATGTCGATCTGTCTGCCTCTTCGAGATGAGTCTCTCGGGAAGTGAGTGGGAACAGACCACTGCGTTTGACGAGGCGGTATCGGTCTCACCCCAAGTTCTTGGAGCTGATGGGTCAGCTCATTGAGGTTACTCGACCCTCCTGCAAGTTCTCCTCTATCGTTCTCCCCCGCAAACCAGGTTGGTTCTTCATTCGCATCTGATCCAAGAAGGAGAGGGTATTGACGCCATTTGTTCGGGCATGAGCGTGCAAACTGGATCACAGCTGCCTGATAAATGGCATTGGTCGCCCCGGTGTGACAGTGAACACTGCCCAGAACGACCCGCCCGTTTAGGATGTGTATACAGTGTGCACGCGGTGGCCGCGACGGCCCAAGAGGCCCTGGGCCCCTAAAACCTTCTTCCTAGTTCATGGTTGGGATAGGATTAAAAATCTTAATTTCTATTCCTTATTGGGTTTAAGTACCCCCAAAAATGTAAGATGTTACCCAACTATGACCAAGCTTCCGGAAGTTGGGGCAGGTCCCCTTCTAGGACTGGCCAGACCCCCCCCCAAGTCAGACCCAAGTCCCACAACGATGAGGGATTCTAAGGTCAGAGAGGCTATTGGCTGGCCGGCATCACTACAGTCCTCGCGCCCCTAAACCCTAAACCCTAAAACCCTAAACCCTAAAACCCTAAAATGTCCTAAACCCTAAAACCCTAAAACCCCAAAATATCCTAAACCCTAAAGCCCTAAAATGTCCTAAACCCTAAACCCTAAAATATCCTAAACCCTAAAACCCTAAAATATTTTAAAGCCTAAACCCTAAAACACCAAATTATCCTAAACCCTAAAACCCCAAAACCCTTCTGATGGGACACTCGGCCAGGGTCCTCGGTCCGAGCCTCGAGGAGCCCATGTAAAATGGTCGGCGGCACTCTCGGCGGTTTGGGGGGGGGGGGGGGGGGGGGGGGGGGTTCAATTTAGGGTTTAGGGGTAGCATTCAACTCCCCTTAACCGGTACCCCACGGCTTAAGTCCGCCAACCTAGACGCCAGAACTCTTTATCAAATGTTTAATATCGAAGCTCAGAGCCTCTATCCTGCAGATCGTGAGAGGACAAACGGGGTTTTGTGATGGTGCGTCACGTTTGAAACCTGAGATTGGGATTGAGCGGTTGGTACTCCATTGCCCCGAAATTGCTGGAAAATGCATCCTGTGGATCTTTTGCAGGGGTCGGAGGAGCCTGTGTTGTCAAATTCCTTCAAATGGTTAGGTGGCGAATGTGGCGATGCCTCGTGGAACAGCGGGCATAGACCTGCGAGGCATCTATGGCATGCACTTGAAACATGAATCGATGGCATCATGGCATCACTCCGTCTTGGAGTTCCGCCGGAATCGGCTCGGGGGCGCATCCCTTTTAGGGAGCGGCTCTGGGATGTTGAGCGCCACGACAATCACTGCTGCGTTGTCGGCCTTCGTAGCCTTGCCAGCTGCTTCCAGCACTGCTTTGGCAGCTTCCTCTACTGATTTGCTCTCCCGCAAGACCTTCCTGGCGGTGGTGATAGCAAGTTGCTCGCGCAAGCCGTCCCAGACTCCGTCGGTGGCCAGGATGACGAATTCTGTCGTTTTCTTAACCTCGATGCTGGTCACGTCAGGTGTGTTGCTGAGGCCCAGGATCTTTTGTCCTGTCTTGTCCACAATGTCCCCAAGGGCCCGAGAGACTTGTACCTTCCCATCGACGTAACCGCCCTCGACGCAGACGCCGAGCTCCTCCAAGCGCTGCTTCTCCTGATCGTTCTTGTCGGGGTGGTGGTCTCGCGTCGTTGTGCCAACCTTTCCGTTCTCGCATACAACTGCTCTGCAGTCCCCCAGGTTCAAAAGGAGGAGCTCGTCTTCCTGAAGGAGCGCAATGCAGGCAACTGTTCCGGACGAAGTACCGGCTGTCAAAACTTTAGCCTCCTCTTCCAGCTCTTTCTGCATCAGCTCGTCGACTGCTGCGAACGCTTGATGTGCGGCTTCTTCTCTGCTGCTCCCTTGTTCCAGATGCTTGTCCAGTTGTAGTGGCAGGAACTGCTTGGCTAGTACTGTTGCCTTCTCGCCTCCGTGCCCATCGAACACAGCGAAGCAGGCGCGTCCCGCAACATTATCGCTAATGGATACAGCGTCTTCCATGCGCACTCTGTCATTCTTTGCTAGGGCAAACCCGTGCTGAGAATTACCACCCGAGGCGTAGTCTGGCAGCAAGGGTGGATCTTTCTCCCGTGCTCCACAGCACGGGCACAAGTTGCCCATGGCTCACACGCCTTTCACAAATATGCGGACTATGACTGTGCAATTGAAGCCGGGATGCCGGCACATGGCCAGGGGCTAGCCCACCCAAGCGCAAAGCCCTCTTGGTTCATGAAATCGTTGGAAAGTCCCGTTGGCTGCAGATTTCAATTCACTGCATTTCAAAGTCCGTAGTCCACGCTGCTCTAGCTTGGGCCACAAACAGGGCATTGCATCGTCAAAGGATATTGCGACAAGCCTACGAGTGCATGCTGCTGGCTGGAGGGCTCTCGTGTGAATGCTAATTTCAGCATGAGAATGGGAATGATGACGGTGATGATGAGAATGAGAATGATGGTGATGATGATGGTGGTGAGGATGATTATGGTATACGTCCTTTTGGTACTACTATGTGGGTGGAAGTTGTCCTTGCGTTCATCGCTTAGGAAAAGGTAACTGCTACTGCCATCGATGTTGCTTGATAGAATGCGATTCTACTACTTACTAACTAATGCATGTTATGTTTTTTTGTATTGCCTCTTTGCAAGTATGTTCTGCGCACTTGTTGCTTTGAGCAGAACAAAACACAAACCTGAATTGATACGTCACAACGAGAGCACGAATAAAACGAAAAACAACAACAATGATAACCACAACAAGCATGCTAGGTGCAACAAGTGGGATCAAGTGGGTATCATTGGAGTGAGCCGTGCTGAATCTTAAGTCGGCTCGAGTTGAATACTGCTTGCTTGCAATAGTCACAATGCTTGCAATAATCACAAAGTCAACACCAATTCAGAATGCGCTTCGTGTTTACACATGTCTGGCTGCACCGGGATGGAAAAAACAGGCTCAACATGCCGTCAATCGCCTTGTTCCGTTGACTGTCTGTAGGCAGTCCGATTGAAGTTCGAGTGCTGCCAATTTCTGCCATTTATTAGAATAGGGTTTTGGGGCTCATCATAATACAATTTAACTCGAATAAGGAACCCCGAAACTGTTGACTGCTTCTTGGAATGCATTAGAATCACCAGTGGCACCACACGTTGAAGCTTGATGCGTTATCATCGCTCTTCATTTAACAAACAAGACAACGGGATGCTTCAAATCTGCGGGGCTGCTCATGTCACATGTGGCTTCGCTGTGCCTTTGTTAAGTTTGACACCGGCCCTCCAGACGAACAACACATAGCAGCCCCACCAATGTCACCACACTATCACACGCCAGACCCATGGGCAATGGAGTCCCTCTTTGCTCTCCAATTCTTGGGGTTCACTGTTTCGATATACTTGTTCTTTCTTCTCAATCTGGGAAAGCTCAGACATAGTGACCACGGCTAGGAGTATCAGGCAGCTTATAGCCGCAGCCGTAGCCCCCACTGTGTCGTGAATTTGGGATCAGAACACAATAGTTTTGCAGGGAGGAACACGTTGCTCAAGTTCATCCCTGACAACCTCTAGAGCGCGGCATCTTGCCGACGTTGGCTGCAGCCGAAGAGCCACAAAGGGCAGTGCAGCTCCACTGAGCGGTAGAGCCCAACTGAGGCAAGTGAGAGAGCCATGGGCTCTATAGTAATTCCTTTTGGAGGGTTCCTACTTAGGATCCTGTAAGGTAGTCCCCAAAAAGGAACTACTATGGAGCCTATATGGGGGTTTCCGAAAATAGGGGACCCTAATATAGTACCCTATATAGTAGGATCCTTATTCTAGGGGCCCCAAAATAAGCTACCCCCATATATGGGTACTCTATGTCACGAGGCCATCGCTCCCAGTCTTCACGTGACTTGCGGAGCGCTATCTCGGAATCAGAGAGATGCGGATACGCAACATTAAGTAGAGAAGCGGAAGGGTTTAGGGATTGTTTTTTCGAAACTTGGTACACTTCTCGATTTGTGCGTTTAGGGCTTATAGGGTTTAGGGTCCCTATAAACCCTCAACCCGGCGGCTCTGACAGAGTCTCAGTGGAGCCCTGGAAGATGCTGACTCGAGTCCCGGAACCCGGGTACCTTATTTTGGGGCCCCTAGAATAAGGATCCTACTATTTAGGGTACTATATTAGGGTCCCCTATTTTCGGAAACCCCCATATGGCACGTGCCAAGCAAGAAAGATCAGAGCTTGCTGGCCTGGGGAGGTCTGCCAAACCTGCACGTCTGGCAGGCATTCGACAGCATCCGACGTGACTACTCATCCTAACATCGAAGGAAGTCCCATGTCTCACCCCTTTAACAGCCGAAAGTCACAGCCAAAGATCTATAAATCCCGCAAACTAATCCCTTCCTTCCCCGGCCCTGCCCCCGAAAAAAAAACACTCTTATCACCACTTCCACCAAACCCGGCAGCCTCATATCCACACATGAGCCATTCTTGCATCAGATATTGGACCATTGGGAGAACTGCAGCCTGACTGGAATTTAGGGTGCACCTGAGTAACAACCCACCACCCGTTCTGAGGGGAGCGATCATGCTGCGGCATCTTTTGGAGGGTAAGCTACTGGACTCCCAAAATAGGTCATACATAGTAGGATCTTGATCTTCAGGACCTCTGAACCCGAAACACCTGGCCTCACCCTCATTGATGGACGCGTGGACCTTGCATCCCCGTCGGCAGCTCACACGCAGCTCCTGACATGCAACCCGCTGCAGAGACCCAGGGGATCAAGAGTGAATGACGTAGAGGTCCACTAGAACTCCGGACGGGTTCTTAGGGTTTGAGGGCCAGTAGGATCTATCAGGAGAAGTTTCAATTCATGTTGTTGTGCATAGCTTTGCCGGGAATCGACACGATAAGGTCTGCAATGCGAATTGCAGCTCACAGGCACATAGTTACACCAGATTGCACTTCATATCCAAATCAGCACGGCGATGACCTATGCTAGAAACATGCGCGGTACTGCGGAGGCCGCGGCTAATCGATGTGCTTCCACGACTGATTGACCCTTGCCGGCTAACGGGCAGCTCATTACATTAAAATCCACATGGCCACCTGGAGCTGTGCGTAGGGAAGGTCCAACTTCTCCAACAACAAGCTGACCTGTAGGATGCCCGATAGCTTGGGTAAAGGCTGACTGGAAAGCTTGATGTAGTGCTACATGGGTATGGAGGGTCATGGGATCAGGCAATAGCAAAAAATCGTAGCGATGTCACATTCCCTTCGAAAACTGTGGTATTCGGAAGGGCTTGCAGATAGTGGCCACCGCCACTGGGCCTGGAATCATTGAAGACAACTGACGCAAGCACTGTAAAGTCGGACGGAAGTAATTACCTGTCGTTGTTATTGCAAAGACACACACACACACACAACTACGCTTTCAATGAGGATGTGATCCTCTCCCCTTCGGTCTGAACATTGCTCGCAGGTAACAGGGGCCGAATTAGAAACTCTCACTGCAACCCAGAATCCTTTTAAACTTCAGAGTACTCAGCCACCCCGATCTCAACAAAAACCGAAACCGCAAGACTCCGAAACAGACTGAAAAGCTGCCCAGGAACTGCACTTCGGGAGACTCCAGAATCAACTAGACTGACGATGTCGAACTTACGCACTGATGATAAGACTGATATTCGCTTGCGTCTACAGCTGTAGAAACTACCCACAGGCCCCAAAGTAGTTCCTGTTTGGGGTTCATGTTTAGATTTCTATAAGGTAATCCCCAAAAGGAACTACTACGGGGCCTTTGGGTAACTTGTAATCGCGCATGACCCCAGTTGCCCACCAGCCGCACGTGGAAGCGAATGGCGCAGACAGCCTTCTCCGGCACCTACGAACTTTGCTCTTGAAGATTTTCGGGTTTCATTGGGATCTCGGGTCTGGAAGTCATCGTTTACGTGCCTAGGCATGTGGACTCAAGGGGGCGTTGCGCTGCTCCGGTAGCGATGGGCAGGATGGCCCAGTGGCTGGGTTTGCAAAGGGGTTAGGGATTGCGTTCACGGTTTGGGGCAAGGGTTTTATGGTCTACAGGTTTGAGATGTATACGGTTTAGGTGCCTCAAAAAACAGAAATCGCGAGCTCTCGATTTGGCTGAGAGCTCGGCCCATTCCGCTTGCGGACTCGCCTGCGGCCATGACACATGCAGTTCCCATAGGTTTGATTCGAGGCATTCCCCTCGAACCGAATGACCGCATAACAATACCGCGAGAGTAGACTCGATAGTGCTAATGATACCGGTGGCGATGATGAAGATAATAACGATGATGATCATCATCATGATCATGATGAAGGTGACGGTGATGGTGGTGATGGTGGTGTTGGTGATGATGCTGGTGATGGTGGTGATGGTGGTGATGGTGGTGACAGTGATGGCGGTGATGGTGATGACAATGGCGTGCTACATGTTTGGCTTTTGATTGCAGCGAGTCTTCTGGCTGGTCCTGAAAGAGAAAGCGCTCCAGAAACCGAGTCTCGCGCCTGCAAAGCCATGTTGCCACAACAAATACACAATTCAATATGTTAATATATATATATATATATATATAGACATAGACAATTTCCTGATATACATATATATATATATATATATATAATGTTGCATACAGTATATTTACATACATAGCATACTGCATAATCTACATAGGAAACTGTACATGTTACATGTGCGCACATATATATATATATATACACACACACATACATGCATGCAAATAACCCCACGCCCAGTTGGCTTTGAAACGCGTCCCTGTTGCTCGAAGTCTGGAACCCCACTCAACTCTCGGAAAGATCAGCCTAAGTGCCGCAAGCTCAACCTAAAAACCCAAGGAGAAACCCTCAGGCCCTCAATGACCCAATGACTCAACCCTAAACTGCTTAAACCCTTAGGGCTTTAGGGTTTGGGGTTCAGGGGACTATACACCACAAGCCCAGCAAGAGAAATGAAAAAACTCTCCATGCGGCAACCTGCTCTGGGAGGCGCATGGCATGCGGATCTTGGCAGGGGATGTGTGGCTTGTGGTTCTTGTGTCTCTGGCGCCGAGGGCTTTAGACTTTGGTTTTGCTGAATGTGGCTTTGGATCTGGGCTTCACGGCTTAGAGCTGGGGTTTGGGGCAGCTGCTTAGTACTAGCGGTAGTGGTCGTAGTAGTGGTCGTCGTAGTAGAAGTGGTGGTAGCAGTAGCAGTAGCAGTAGCAGTAGCAGTAGCAGTAGCAGTAGCAGTAGCAGTAGTAGTAGTAGTAGTAGTAGTAGTAGTAGTAGTTGTAGTAGTAGTAGGAGTAGGAGTAGTAGTAGTAGTAGTAGTAGTAGTAGTAGTAGTAGTAGTAGCAGTAGCAGTAGCAGTAGCAGTAGCAGTAGTAGTAGTAGTAGTAGTAGTAGTAGTAGTAGTAGTAGTCGTAGTAGTAGAGTGGCAGCGGTAGCGGAAGTGGTAGTTGTAGTGGTAGTGGTGGTAGTAGTAGCAGTAGCAGCAGCTGCAGCAGTAGCATTTAGTTGTGGTAGTGCACTCCAGCACAAGCTGGAAAAGTAGTCGCTCGAAACTCACAGCCGCTGCAAGCACGTAGATGTGCATACAATATTAAGGCACACTCTCCATAACCACTAGCAGACTATGGGACTTCATTTGATGGTTTTCGTAGACAAGATGACGCCACATTCAACCGACAGCCAGGAAGCTGAGGCTCTGACGCAAGCCGCGGATGAAGATGAATTCAACACAACGTCTTTGGATGTGTCAAAGAACCCTCATGCCGGAAAGATGGTCTAGGCTAAGTTAGTACCCAAGAAACGAAAAGATGGTCGAGGCTAAGTTCGTGCCCAAAGAATTTTGTGTATATGCGTTGTACCCTGCGACACTGTTGACGTAACTTGCTGCTGCTAACGGATGGGCTGCTTGGTGTAGCAGGTGCTCAAGAGATGTTGTTGCGCAACTGATGCCGGGATCGGATTCGGACTGGCTGGGCCTACAAACCTACAAGTGCGAGATTGATCCTGCCAAGACGCTCGAGCTTTCATGCGAGCAAATGGACTTAAGATTTTAGGGTTTAGAGGGTAAGCACTGGACAATTGACTGTGGGCAGCTCTGCGTTTCAGGCTATATGGGCATGCGAGAAATTCTGGGCACTGTGCTCCCCTTTTAGGCTCTTCATGAGACATGAATCGCACAGGTCGAACACGAACCTCCGCGACTTGAAACTCACAACCGATAAGCTTTTCTGATCGAACACTGTCAGCCACTGTGCATCAGCTCAGTTCCACTCATGATCCGGAATCAGAGAGTGCACGAGCTGCTTTCAGGTTTCATGCATGCATGCACCCGTAATCGGATCCTTTTGTGTAGATGTCCATTCGAGGAAATCCCTGAAACCGACGAGATGTCAAGAAGTGAACACTGGTAACTGAAGATGATTGCGCTGCATCGCGCAGCAGTTCCTGCTGCAAGAGGCACTGCCGGTAGCCTTGCAACTTAAAACTACGCAACACTTAAACTACAGTGCATTCCTTGAGTTTCGGTCGTTTGCCTCGGCCTGCTTACCAGAGACCCAGCCTGAGCCTGCTCTGCGGGGTTGGCCGGTCGGCTGCTCGATGAAGCCACGGCATCTGCAAAGTATGTCGCTAGCTGATAAAAGGCCGCGAAGGAAGAGACGCCCATAAACTCGCTTCAATTTCTCAAGCGAAAACCCTGCGGCCTGCATTCGCAGGGGAGACGTCCAAAGCAGCCTTGCAGGCTGGCAAAGCTGTGGACCCAAACAGGAAGGAGGCTACAGGGGTAGTGCTTCCTCCTTTGTCTCGTCGTCCTGGTCATCCCCTGCAAGGCGAGTGCCTTCTTCTGCTCCTCCTGCAGCCGCTGCCTCTGCTGTGCCTCAAGGCAGAAACAAACAAGGGACTACCAGAGTAAAAGTCGTCGCCAGGGAGAGTCTGATTCCTGCTGCTGCGGTTTGGTATTTACGGCCGAGGACTAGGGCGACTTATCTTTTGCCTCGGGTTTTGAGGTGGCTCACCCTGAGATCCCAGGAAGAAAGCCTGAATCGTCAACTACACCTTTTCAACCTCGCTTTCTCCTGCTTTCGCCGCGTCACTCCTAAGCACTTTGGCCTGGCAGGTGAAGCAATTATGAACATAACCAAACCCGTTCAAACTAAACCCTCCTCGCCCCTGACCCGTAGAACAGGCATCTGACCCCATCCGTAAACCTTCATTGTCCTCCCCGGGGAACCTGCAGAGTAGCGAGAATAATGACAACGATAAGTGCAAAAGCGCAACACTGGTTTTTAACGGCGACAAGACTAAAGAGAAACAGAGCAAAAAACAAGTACGATGCCAATGGCACAAAAATGAACAAAAGCTAGCCAAGAAACATTATCCCTGAATAAATCTCTGAGAAGCGGCTATGGACACAACCCAGCACCTTCCAAAGCCTAAGCCGACCTCTGAATCCAGTACTAGGTTATGATGATAGTATTATACCAACACAATGAATATATAATTCGTTACTCGTATATAGTATGATAAAATTCATTTGTATTCGTATTATGATTCTATCGCCCTGAGTTTCCGGCTCGAATCGCGCCATGACGTTGTTGAAGGCGATGCTTTCGCGCAGCGCGCTCCAGGTCATCGTCCATCGCCCGGCTTTAAGCGCTAGGGCCCCCGTATGGTACAGCTGACTTCTTGGGGTTCCGTCGGAGTTCAGGGCTGAGGGCTTGGCGGCTTTGGGTCTTTGGGTCGGCTGTGTGGCGCTCCGAGGCCGGAGGGCAGGGATCTTGTTGGGCCACGGAACATCTGAGGTCGCCAGGCGAGGGGTCCTTCTTCGTCCAGGGAGCGGAAAAGGCGCTGAATTTATACAGTTTAAGCTGTGGCCGGGAAAACGGCGAGTGCTCAAGCCTCATCAGCACTGGCAGAAGCTGGACTGTTACGTATGCTCAGCGGGCACACGGATGACACACACGTGCTAGAGTCCCCAGAAATAGACTTGCATCATACTTTAAATCCAAGCATCGAACTGCCGCGCGGTCCCGTCAACTACGCTAAGCACATTGGACGGCTAGTCGTCGTGGTCACTCGCGCAGATGCCGATGCTGATGGTACTGGAGCACTTCATGTGTCTTTGCAGATGCTTCAAAACTTCCCCCCAAACCAGAATAGCCTCAGAAGTCAAGAACGACTTCCATAGGCATTCGGATGCACTAAAACAGTACAATGAGTTATATTCATCTGGACTGGTCAACTAAAGTGCGTTGAGTTTGCAAACGAAACGGGTCAACCGGGTCATGCTCATGCCCTCAGAAAGTTGGAACGAGGGTGATGCGTACCTTGCCCTCTAAACGCAAAACCCTGAACCCCACATTTTCTTTGGCACACGCAAAGATATTCCGGACTTGCCTACGGCCCTTAGGGCCTCGCCTGTGTGAAGGATGTGGTCCGGCTGCCCAGCTACAATTGTGTCGTCGTTGTCGCTGCAGTCCACTGTCATTCGTGTAATTAACTAATGAATGAATAAACACACGTGCCAACACTCTACACACATGTGGATGTGTGTGTGTGTCTGAACATCGACACACGCGCAAACACACAGACACACAGACACACGCACACACAGATATATACGTATATATATATATAATATAACATAACATTATATGTCAGGAGGCTGGTACAGGCACTCGCCTGGCTCTGGACATGCTCCGGCCCTCTTTCCCTCAGAGTGAGACTGTGCCGTGGCACCCTCGCCGACCTCTCGCAAAAGTCACTTTTAGTCGCGATACCCTAGGCTGCGAGCGAGGTGCCAGCTGCCTGTTCCTACTTCCTGCCTCGGCAGTGAAGAAAATCTTGCAACGGACTGCCGTGCACTGCTTCGGGGGCGTCTCTGACAGCCACTTGAGGGCCCTGACCGTGTCTCCAGATAGCGTTATGCGGAAGGCTACATCTGCAAGCACCTGAAAGCACTAACAACTCGTGCGTGCTTGAAAGCAGCGGCTTCCCGAGGAAGGCAAAGTAGCTGAAGTACTAGTAGGAAGCCATCCGCAGCATAGTCTCGGCCAAAGTCAAAGCGGCCCCAGGCACGCAGCCGTCGTAGCCAAACAAATTGTTCTTTTCGAGGACTGGGACAGTCCGGGAGTCAACATTGACTAATGAGCCAGTGAGGCAACTTGTCCTCCTTCTCATCCTCTTGCATTCATTCTAATTCACTTGCTGGAATCAGAAAAGACTCTGCAAATCAAATCTGCAGTCTCTCGTAGATGGTAGCCCTACGCTTCCACTGCTTTAACACGACACGCGAGACTGCGCAATTGGTGTGCAACGAATTCCCTTCCGCATCCACTTCCAAGCATGATCTTCGGGTTCTCCCCCGTAAACAGCATAGGCAATAGAAGCAACCAGCGTCTCAAGAAATACGCCGCTCAGAACACTGGTTAAGGAAATGGAAGCATCAGGAATTGATAGCTGTCGGATGCTCAGCTTCTGTGGCACAAGGCTTTACATTACAGCGACGTGGCTTATCCTAGTCACTTCGTGCACGAGACAACAGCAGCACCGTCTTTTATCGTAAGCTGCCAGGGTTTCTTGGGCTGTGACTTTTTGACTGGAGGGGGCTGCTCAAGTGAAAAAAAATCGCTTTCTAACTGCCAGCAACTGAGAAGGAGTGGTAGACTGGTGGTAGGCTCTGGTGCGAGTTGCCATGGTCAGCGGTTTATGCGACGACGAGTTGGACACCCATCTGCAGTATGGTAACTTTTGACATGAATACATGTGTTCAGGCTCTGGGTAGGGCGGAATTCCTTTGATAAAGAACCTGCCTTCTGAATTGCTCAGGTTCACGATTAACGGAAGCTGAGCGCTCTTGGGCTGTGGTTCTGGCGCCGTTGGCGCCACTTGGCAGGTGAGACGCTGCGCTTGCATCTTATCGCCTCGCGAGGGCTTCACATGGGTTTAGGGTTTAGGGGTTTAGGGGTTTAGGGGTTTAGGGTGTCAGGCTGTCTGCCGTGAGCTAGTGTCCGCGGCAGGGTATGCGCGTGAGATTGATGCTCTTAGCCCTGCCCAGAGAACCCAATACCCCTTAATTAAGGAATATACCTTAAATAATGCGGGCCTTAATATGATGGTTTAAGGTATACTCCTTAAGTAAGGGGTGTTGGGATCTCTGAGTCTGCAGCCCCAAAGGAAAGCCATTCCTCTTCGCCGGTCCCTCGTCGAATGTTCTCCTCGTTCTGTCTGTAAATGTTCCCCGCACATTGAATGCTGAAGCCAGTCAGTTCATCTACAAACTGAGACTGCGCGGCAAGCGGTTGAAGTTGAAAGGTAATGGAAAGGATTATTCTTAATCCAGCTGCGACTCAATGTGCTGTCATCGGGCAGTGAGACTGCCAACTGACAAAAATCAGTCCTAAGCATGATGAGGGTCATTGTAAGTAAATGCAAGTCTCGCCAGCAGCTTAATCGCAAGCTCAACTACTCGGGCAACAGCAACTTTATGACAAGCTTGCACAGGTCGTTGTTGGTCTAACGAATATACTGTATTTCGTGTTCTTGTAGCTATGCTTCTTCTCACTGTATGAATTTCGTCGTGGCTATCCGGCTATCCTTAAATCCAGGTATAGTAACCCGAGCCAAAAGCGTTTTCTTGTCACTCGAAAGGTTGCTATGTCCACCATCTGAAGCGGCTCTCGGGAGCTCTGCCACTGAGGCCGGTACAACGGTCTGAGCAACAGGAGGATGAACGCAAATAGTGGGATGAACACCTTCAGGGCCGGTCGTGTTTTTCTCATGTTTTCTGGATGATACGAGTACTCTAAACACGCACACGAATTCTACGGGAACCCTAGCCATCATCAGTTGTCACGGAAATCAAGCAGCAACATGTCATGGTCATTCTTCAGAGTGATGTAAACCGGACCTTACTTTCGAGAGCGCTCCGATGTGTTCCGAATCGTCAGCCAGTCAGAGACCACCGCCATGCAACAGCCGAGTTCACTTGGAAAACATCCCTCCCTGCGGAATCGAAACTTGGTGAAACCGTACCATATCCTGCAAGGAGACAAGAACAAACCGATTGCTCACAATAACGATGCTGTACTAAAATGACGGTATTGTGAGAGCAATAGCGCTACGACCGGAAATACTAAACGGTTCTGGGACCTGGAAACTCGCAGTATGAGACCCAAACCGAACTCTAAAAATCTGACTCCGACCCCTTGAATCGCTTCGGCGCTTCCACACCTGCATTGGGAAGCCGTCTGAAACCTCAGAACCCTCTGTCCTGTTCCTAAAAAGCGACATGCGAAGATCCGAAACCCGAAGCCGTGCAGGCAGATGCACAACCTCAAAAGCCCGAAGCACGCCCAGTCCACGTAGACGTATATACATGTATATATCTACGGATATATGTGTATACACATATTTATATATACATACATACATACATACATACATACATACATACATCATACATACATAAATACATGCGCCTGTCAGGACCCTTAGTTTCAAGCCCGCCTCTCCGCTAAGGCGCGCTCTGCGCGGGGCGAAGTTCGTAGTGACCCGAAGCGTCTGAGGCCGGGAATTCATGAGCTTTCCCCAGAGAACCCAATACCCCTTAATTAAGGAATAGACCTTCAATAATAGGGGCCTTAATACTATTGTTTAAGGTATATTCCTGAATTAAGGGGTATTGGGATCTCTGAGTCACAGGATTTAGGTGTGAGCTTAAGATGTGAGCATCTTCGATTTCCGAGATGGGCAGTAGTACGTGCTGGCACATATGCCAACAATCTGAAATTGAGCTCGAAGACGTATGTTTGCAGCGCACTGTTCAGCAATACTATGAAATAAAGTTCATGCTGAGTATTGTCGCCGCCACCGATTCTCTTGTCTACAAAATCTTGATACCAGCTTCGTTGATATGGCCTGTTCAGCTGTACAGAGCGAACCGCACGCTAGTCTTGTCTCCTTTCTTGTTAATAGCCTGCACCCGGACACCCGCAATGTTCATATTGAACTGTTCATATCGCCTCCCGCCGAAATACTCTCGCACCGGACCTGGTGTTTAACAACAAACATGTAGCCAGCCTCTTGTGACAGTTCGTAAAGCTGGAAGCCCGCGATGGGGAAACTCACGATGATGTACCTTCACACGATGCGGCTCTAGCTAGCCCATGCGACGAGGTCTGACAGTGTTGGACTTGCATCTTTGCAACACCAGTTCTGAGCAGGGTGCTGCCCGTCGGGTTGTTGACAATCCCGATCGAAGCACCTGCAAAAGCGAAAGATCAAGACCCTGTCATTACGGCACGAGTGCTCTTCGTAATGCACATGCAGCATTTGAGAGAAGACGGGTCGCCACGATCGAATGTTTTGACGTCTCCCGGCGATGCGATGGATTTACACACTAGGATGTCGAAACTCAAACCATAAGTAATTACCCGGGCCACTGAGGATGCCACAGGGAAATGGACCAGTAATTGTTGTTGGACCTGCCAGTGGAACAGCAGGCTGCTGAAGCGAGGAAGGTGCTCAGCCGTCCGCGGGAAGGCCGCACAGCATCAGCTGCCGAGAGATAGTAATCCCAAAGGCTCCATGTACTTCTATATAGTAGATACTTAAGCCTTAAAGGGGTCCCTATATAGGTACTTTAAGCCTAAGTATACACTATATGGGTACATGGAGCCTTAGGGAATCAAGTCCAGACAGCATCACAGTTCTGAGGTCGCAGCATGCTCGGTGGCACCAAAGCCGGAAAGCTAAACCTGGGTCAAGCACGCGGCCACACACAGTGCGTGCAAGGTGCATTGTGAATGCCATACAGTTGTGCGTAACCCAAGCCTGTGGTCGTCGCTAATAATACTTCAGGCTGATCGCTGTACACTGCACAGATCCAACATTCAAGGCAATCCTGAGCACGTAATTTTGTTGCACCCCGAGGACACAAATCTGGAAACCCTATCGTTGAAGTCTGGAGATAAATTGGGATGCTGGCCGATACTCGCCTGGATCAATGGCCTGGCCACCGCCAGTGTCGTCCAGGTATATCTTGATACGATCGGTGTACTGGGTGTCTGCCTGAGTGGTCTGGCGACAGCACAATCAAAACAAAGCCAGCTACATGTAATCCTTTTTGAGACGACGACGATGATGATCATGATGATATGGTGATGGTGATGATGATGGATGTGATGGTACCTAACTATTTTTTGGCAGCGCAATCACTTTCAGCTTCAAACTTACTTCTAACTCCCGCAGGCCTCCATCGTTAACATCACTCACATTGTTTTGATTTCCGCGTCGCAACCATCTACATTGACGCAGAGATTTCAAAACGCGCTGATCGCCGCAATCTCCCTTCACCGGCGAACCATCAAGATCACCAACCTTTCAGTCTCTGCGCTGGCCCTGTTGCATCTGCTCAGCTACTTGGTTGGCTCCTCGAGGACATCGGATCAGAATCTCTGGGGGAGCTGCCCAATCCGACCCTGCTGCCACTGGGAACTGCCTGTGCCGGTCTCGCAGGTCAGTACGCACTCGAACCATCCTAGTGGATGCCTGATCACACTGATCATGTTACATGCCAGCAGTACGAACCATCGTCAATGACATCTGGGTCGCAGACTTGTTGATGTTTTGCACGTCCGTTGGAGTCTGGACATCGTGAATGAAGCGCTCTGGGAGCATGATCAACACCGCCTGCACGACAGCAAGCAAGCACAGACCGCACCGAGCCAACATCCGCCTTCAGCCTTTGAAAACTGTACGTAGCAATACAGCTCACTTCGGATGGCGGGTTACATACCCGAAACATACTGGGGTACCGTTCCTGCGAACGACACGACCGGTGAGGGGCCAAATTCACCTCCTCCGTCCAAACATGGGCGTCAACGAACCAACCCAGTTCATCGCTGGACCCGGCCCCAACAATCGCAACACCTACAGCCGCAGTGCCTGGACCGCAAACCACCATGTATGTCATGAGTCATCAGTCACGATTAACATGATGTGTCCGTTGATTTTGGCTTTCAGCAGAGACGATCCGGATTGAATGCAACCGCAGGGATGTCTTGCCTTTCACAGTTTGACTGAGGAAGTTCACAAGTCCCAGCTTGCTGACGTATTAGCCGAACTCATACCAACTCCTTCTTTAATTTGCCTAACAGTTACCTAACATGTCCAAGCTGTGTCTTGACATGCTGAAAGCTGACAAGGCTCCGGGTGGCGAAAACGTGAAAGCAAAGTCCCACCTTGACATTGGGGGTAGTCCCGGTAAACGTCAGCCCGATCCTGCGCTCGGGCATGCGGTGGTGCCAGCTTGCAGGTCAGGGATACGATTCAGGAGTCCTTCTACTGATCAATCTCAGGGTCCACAATTATGGGGGTATCACAAATGTCCGCATATCCAACGCGCAGGAGGCAGAGGATGATAACACGATCACCGACAACGGCCTTGAATCAACCACAACTCTCAAACCACTGTCTGGTGCTTAGTAGGGAATAGGGGAATGGATTACGGAGATTACTATTGGGGATTACATAGGAACTATAGCGATCCTTCGTCTAACACGTCCAAATCCGAAACCCTCAACCCGATGCCCTGGATCTCTCCCTGGGGATCAAAATAGCCCAAAAGCCTACGTAGTATGGTCTCTGGGCCCCAAAAAAGCCCCTAGTCCGAAAATAGGGTGTACCTTATTTTGGGATCATTATAATAAATATCCTACTATTACGGGTGCTATATTAGGGTCCCTCTAGTCTTATGAGTCCTTAGAGCCCCGAATCTCTGGATCCGCGACAGAAAAGAGTCGCTCTGAGCTGCAGCCGGAGGTCGTAATTTGAGTCCGCTGCCCTGGCTCCGCCTGCGACCTTTGCATCTTCAAGAGATCCTTTAAGGGATCCTTTCAGGGAGCCTTTAGGGGAGCCGTTATTGGAGCATTTAAGGGATCCTTTAAGGGACCCTTAAAGGGATGCTTTCAGGAATCCTGTGTACAAGGGCTTCTTTAAAGAATCCTGTAGGGGTTCCTTTAAGGGATCCTTCAAGAGGAAACCTTTAAGGGCCTTTGCAAGCTTTTGCAGACTAGAATGCTTACTGTAGGGTTTTGAGGGCGCTTAGGCTTCGGGATTTGCGGGGACATTTACAAGTGCGTATTACTCTAGGTACCTGACTTTGGCTAAACCGAGTATGTACGGCCCTGGGAGACTGTGCACCGAAAGCTCGAGGTGCCCTAAACGCTATCACTAAACCCGAAACATGGCCTAGCCTCGGGCCGTGCTTTCCGGGGGATGCTGATGAAGCCCACCCTTCACGCATAGCTGGGAGCCGGACCAATCAAGGTAGGGGTCGGTGACGCCCATAATCACGAAGGGCTTGCCCTGAATGGAGTACCTCCAAACCCCAAGCACAAGTCCACTTCTGACCCGGCGGGGGAAGAGCTGGTCTCTTCTTAGGTGTCCGCGTGAGATTCCTGCTCGTTGATCGGGAATGTGTGAAAGCTCCGGAATACACGACAAGCGAAAGGACGCAAAGCTTGCAAAACCAACAGGATCATGAGCCTCCTTCTCCCCATCAGTGGGAATGAACCTTGCCCTCGCACCGCCGGATGCACTCTTCGCTCTTCCACACTTGCGCTTCGATCACGTGACGGTATTAGCTACGGGAGGGCACGCTGCATCGACGACACCGCCGTCCTGGCACATGTCTGCCCGAAGAGATCGGCAGTTTGCTCGAATCCGAGATGCAAGACTGCTCGAGAAAGGGACCCCGAAGGGCACGTGCAAATTTTGGTTCTCACGGGAGGACTGGCAAGTGTTCGGTGCAATCAGCTGATTTCTCAAGCGTTCTTACGCGATTGATGAGTCGAGACATGAAATTCCATCGGAAGTACGTCTGCAATACACTACGAAGACAGTCGCAAGTCTCAGCCAGATGGTCCTGGTCTCTGACGATGACACTGAAAGTGTTGTCCTTGCTGCGCACGACGAGTGAGCATCCAACAAAACTGCAGGCACTCAGCGGATGCGAGTTGAACAGACTCACGACGGCATGTCGACGACTAAGTTTGAGAACACCTTCATGATTTCTTCCACTGCTGATTACTGTGCGTCGCACCAAAGAACCACTTGCATAAAGCACCAAATCGTAACACAACCAACGAATCACATCTTTCTTCTTACTAGCAGCTAGTTACTAGCAAATTGTTACGTTTCCCAATACTACTCCTCCTTCTCCTCCTTCTCCTCCTCCTCCTACTACTACTGCTACTACTAGTGCTACTGCTACTGCTACTGCTAGGGCTACAATTACTACTACTACTACTACTACTACTACTACTACTACTACCACTACTACTACTACTACTACTACTACTACTACTACTACTACTACACCTACCCTCCTCCTCCTCCTCCTCCTCCTTCCCCTGCTGCTGCTGCTGCTGCTGCTGCTGCGACTACGACCACGACAACTACTGCTACTACTGCTAGTACTGCTGCCACTACTACTACTACTACTACTACTACTACTACTACTACTACTACTACTACGACGACTACTACTACCGTGATTATTACTACGACTATCACTAGCGCTCTGATTATTATGATTATGGTCATAAGTTATGATATGTTATTGTTACTACTCTCAGTTGTCTTTGCAAGTACTACGACTGCTGGCTGGTAAAACCCAAAAATAAAGCATTTTTGGTCCTGTGCAAAAGCTGATCAAACACATGTTCAACCTATACATCTGCACCAATATGAAGCTGTCCATGCACAGAACCGGCCTTCGGGCTTACATGGGAACACAGAGACGCAATCTAACAAACGACAAACATGACCAACCCTTCATCGTCCGATACTTTACTGATCCATTCTCTCGTGCACTCTCACACATGGGCCACTGCACACAAATACGCACACGCACCGTCTACGCATGCCTCTACACGTGCACATATACAAGTTCGGGTAGATGTGCACGAAGTCGTTCAAGATGCTACTGTCGGCTGCCAGCTGCATTTGCCCAAATTCGCAAACATCCAGTAGAGTGCAGGATTGATCGGCTGTGTTTAGGTTTTAAGCTCATTTTGATTAGCACTTTGGCCCTAGGATTCTTAATTCTCATATAGGGGCCTCAACAATTAAACAGGGTCTTGGGGTATATGCATCTATACCTAGACCCTCCATCTACCCTCCATTAGACCCTAAGTACCCATTATTTGGGACCATATACCCCTACTTGAGGGCACAAGGAGGGTCCTACTGTCGATGATGTTAACCCTGCATTACCTTAAGGACCCTAAACTACGGGAATTATGGTATATTCCTATTTATGGGTCATGCAGGATTTATATCATCAACCCCGGTATTCGGGTTTTGTCAGGGTCGCAAAGAGCAGCGGGGAATCTGAGCTCCCGGGCACGAGGCTCGTCCGGCGGCAAGTCCACGAGCAAAGAGAAGGCCTCAGGTATGATTAGGGCATCACTATTATTGGTAATATTCTAGTTACGATTATTAATTGCTATACCGTGAACTTAAATGTTATATTAAAACTAGTAGCATCATAACTATTACGATGGATGTATTTTTTCGAGAAATGATTAAAAGTATAGGGTATTTTAGGGCATCATTCGGATACTTTAGTTTGATGAATTTCAGAACAGTGTATGTCGAATATACATGTGACCACACAAGCGTCGGCGTCTCCCATCAACTTGAGATCCCTTTCTGGAGTTATAGGCGGATTGTAGGCATGAGGCTGCGGGTAGTACGTACTTCCCAACCTTCTTAAAGTTGAAGCCCCAACACCCCCAAAACCTTAGATCTACACGCAAATAAAACCTGAACTCTATGTTGTATGGATCCTACGAATCTACATCTCATGAAGGGATAGCGAAGCTTCTTTTCGGGAGCGCTCTCGGTACAGTACCTAGGGCTGTAGCCAGAGAGTGCGTGGGGAACGGAAAATTGCGTTTAGTAACTGATTTCTCAGGGTTGCTTGGCACTGATCATCTGAGCCATGAGGCTATGAACAGAAGAACAACACGGTTCTACATCCATCTCAGAATGGCCTGGGCTGCGCGTGACAAGCGAAGGCACTGGGGCGAAGGCATACTGGTCGGCTGTCAGCGTCGTGCCCTGAGTCGCAGAAACATGCCCGTGCAGCCCCGTGCATACCAACATTGCCAATGCAGGTCTGGGGTTCAACACAACACTCACAGAAGCCTTAATTATTCAAGTAAACTATGAGCGGTAAAGTAAAGCGGCAAGGCTCCCTTCTGCCAGATCTCAGAGAATCATCACATGGGGTTGTCAAGTTCATCTTGCGGTGGCTGCTTCCGAGATCACGGCCAAACGGATCTGCAAGGGGTCATCGATGCAGTCAGGCCTGCAGCATGTTGGGACTTTCCCTGTTCATACCACTCTGTTAGCTTAGGGCAGACACCTGTGTTCGGAAGCAAGAACACTACAATCGACAGGCAGAAAAGCTTGACGATCGAGATAGATCTCCGGGCCCACAGGCTCGTCCAATTCCAAGCTGCAAGACTGCAGCGTCCGACCTGGACCTGATGCCTAGGAAGGTAGCCTATCACGATATAAGCACCCGAAGAACCCCTCTGTAGATGGTTCTTGGATGGAGTTATCCGGCCGAAAGTAAGGTCTCAGGCACGACACTGGCCAAACTGGGTTGGTTAAAGGGTCTCCGCACGCTGTGTCAGGAACTTTTTCGAGGATTCAGAAGCGTAGCACCATGGCATTTCTCGGGTCCGTGCTTGCCGCCGGGGAGACTGATCTGCTTGAGTGCCCCTTCTGTGGAGCCTGGGCTGCAACGGTCTAGGGGTTCAGAGTCTTCTTGTTGCAGAAGTGCTGCAAATCCCCTGGTTTTGCCGGCGCATCACCGCTTGCAAGAAGCTGGTCCATTGGAAAGTACAGCAAGCTTGGGTCGTACGACTGAGGCCGGTGCAAGTCAGAATGAAGCCCGGTGGAGCTTCGATGTTGATCTGATTCCCGGCGTTGATGTTCAGAGCAAACGTGAACCTACAGCAAGGTAAACGCTGAGTTCGGCTAGCAGTGACCAGGAGAAAGCTTCAAGGGGCAACCCTGCTGGTGCACTGCAACCTGGCTGACCGCTCTGCCGTAACTGCCGATGCTGTCTCCAATCCTGCGGTTAAAAGCTAAGGCCCATGCACAATCTGTGCCTGTGCAATGGTTGCAACGGCCGGGTACCTCGTGGTGTGGTGGGTTCAGTTTTCGAGTTGAAGCGAGCCGTTCTTCCTGCCTTCAAGGAAAACAAACATTTTTTCGTGTTGTGCGTGAGCATGACCATGCTCACTGCTATCATCATCATCGTCATCATCCTAATCCACCGCCACCATCGCCACCGGCCATATTACATCATCGACATCCACCTTTACTAGGATGACCATCGTCACCACCATCAACCTCAGACCCGTCCTACGTAGTCGGAATGGGCATTCAGTCGAAACCGAAAACCCTCTTTAAAGCCCTGGCTGCTCTGCCCCCGCTGAGGTCACATGACACTTGTGCCGGCCATCTGCGTCACGAAGAAACCTGGGCCTGCAGAACGAAATCCGGGAATGTACTTGGAGGATCCTGGGTCTTAGTAAGTATAAGGTTATAAGTACCTGAATTGGGGTTATAAGTACTTATAAGTATAGTCACCTTAATTATAACCCTAGTTACTAACTCCCATGAGCCTTTAAGTGACTAGAACAACGAGGTCGTCGTGGTCGGGCGCTTGTGGGTTAGTGGCCAGGGTTGATCAGGATTGAAGGCGGGGCGCGATGCCCTTCTGAATCTGATGTAGGGCCCCCTATTTTTAATATAGATTTCTGGGTTCTGGGTCTATTGGTACAGTTGAAGGAGTACAATTAAATCGATTTCGATTTATTCCTGAAGTAGCTCTCTGAATGCCAGGTTTGTCAACCCTCCCACTGCCAGGTCCAAGCTTGCACACGAAACTTGATCCGGCCTCATTCGGAAGACCATGACTCTGAGACTAAGATTTGAACTTCACGCATTGTCGACCCTACAACATGTTCAAAAAGACTACCTATCAATGCTTCCTATAGACTACAACGTATACTCCTACTTACGTGGTTACGGCTACAGGGATTATTTCCTGCTGCGCCAATGGGCCAACCCCACGCCCCTCCCACGGTTTGCCAATGCTATGCTAAGACTTATCGAAGACGGCTTGCATACTTGCTCTCACGACTTGCGCAAAAACAATTCTCCGATCAGCCGTGTGCACAACTGCTCCCCAGGCCTTCTCCCCAGCCGACAGTTGTGCCGGCACCTTGGCCACGTCCTTCCACGTACCAGGTCACGCCTGACACCAGGGACAGTTTCAAGCACTGCTGCAACTAAGCTCGCTCAAGTAGCAATCCTGCAGATGCTGCAGATGCCTGCAGCTCATAAAAAAGCGACGAACAGTCTTGCTTCAACTCGAAGCCGAGTGCGACAGAGTCCTGCCAACCTCGTGCAGCCTGCCCGAGCCAACGGCAACGCGAAAATCTGAGTTCGGCACTGCTGGGCGTCTGGGCGGGCGTCAGCACGCGCACCCTTAGAGAGCAAACAGTATATATTGCACGAGAACCAGCACCCTTGCTTTGAGCGACACGCCTTTCATGCCCCTCGTGGCTGTGACTCGCGGGCACTATTCCGACTGTCCTAGCAAACTTTCTTTCTGTATCACAAACCATTGGTGGTGGAAAGCACACACACCCACAGACATCCCAAACTTCTCCCCGAATCCCCAACTCCTTTATCGGATTCACGCTAACGAAATGCCGAACAGATGGTCTGGAAAATGCAAGCCCTGACTACAGGTCCTCACCTGTTGCCTGAAAGCATCTGGGCACTGTGGCTTGAGATTTCGCAGCTGTGTCAGCGGTTCGCCCGTGGGCGACTGGATCGTGGCCGTCCTTGAAAGAGGAGAGACGCTTGATCCAACAAACAAGGCACCGGCCCAGTGTTCTAAGGGTTGGGGGTTTCGGGTTGATATGATGGCCCTCAGCTATGTAGACTTCGGAAGATACTGGCGATGCCTACGACATTTCAACTGCATGCAAGAGATCTCCTGCACCTGCAGTTTCAGAACCTGCACGAGCTTTCAACAGCTGACGTTTACTACGATGATGTTGACAACCTACATCAAACACGCAGGTTGTTCTCTTACGCTGGACCTCGATCGCACCAGCTATGAAGTAAGCCCCGGTCGACCCACCCTACTTGGACCCTGCTCTCACATTAAAATCGGAGCATGGGTGAATGCATCCGGGTACAAAGTCTAGTTTCTACTGCTAGTAGCCTGTACGGACATTGAGACTTCAATCGCCAAAGCCCAGGTGCTCCGACGGTTAAGCAGCCAAGGCGAAGACAACTTACATGTTTATGTCGAGTAGGCCACGATCGTGCGGACCCAGCCGAGCTGAGTTGGGCTGGGTTTGGCACCTTCGGCTGGTCGAACTCAGTGCTTCGCCAGGCCTTGGTAACGGGATACCCGAATTGACGTCCACTGGCATTGCGATGCAACCGGGTAACTCAAACGTTTGGGGCAGCGCACTGTCCGAACAATGGTGTTCCTATGACTGCCTGCCTGATTTAATGACAGACTGACTGACCGACTGACTGACGTCACTAGAAAGAGAGTTTTGTCGCCACGCCCAGACGGACTGCTATGCTACAGTAGCAGCTATTTTGTCGCAGTCGCAATAAGCAGGCGCGCAAGTACTGCAATCGTAAGGATGTGAACGGTCGGAGTCTTGCTTCCGTTGCTAAGATCTTTCAACCACACGTGAGTACGTTACAGACTCTTCCTGCTGCAGGATGAGACAGAACTGCAGAGTGCTAACGGATTCATCGCCGTTGGAGGAGCAGTAACTCGAAGCACGCGGAACACGTGGAGCCTACTGGTAAGTCTTGCAAATGCAGAAAGCGAAGGAACGAAGTCGGAAACTCTGACCGATCGTGAAGTCTCTAAGAAGCCATCGAGCCTAAACCCACCGACACCCCTTTGAAATCTTTGCGGAATTCTTGGGACCCCATGCACTTCGACAGATGTCAGAGACAACAGAACCTTCAAAACTGCTACAAGGGGCCATGTAATTACCAATACTATTTTGGTGGCTCCTTAATATAATGATAGTATAATGGGCCCCAAAACCCTATTCTAGTACCACATACAACTACCATGAGTCCCACCTCAAAGCTTTGCTCTCAAAATCGTCTCGGAGCCTTGAGTCACCTTGAGCCCCGGGCAAGCACATGTTACCGCATCCACCCGCGCTCTCGTCGAAGAGGAAGCTGGGAGGAGCAATGATGATGAGCTCCTCCGCAATCTTGGACTTGTTCTCTACATCGCGGCCTAAAGCTTCCGCGTTTTTAGGAGCTCATAGATTTGGGGGAGGGGGCTGTTTATCCCACTACGCCAGTGCAATTTCCACATACTTCGACAGCCAGATCGCGTTTCTTCGGGAACCGACGCTCTCTCAGGAAGGGTGCACCAAACTTCAGTAATCGCCTGCCTCATGCCAGGGCTATTCTACGTACCGTATATATATATATATATATATATATATATATATATGTAACGCTCAAGCCCTAAGTGCGTTCACCATCTGTCCCGAACGATGGCGCTGCCGGCGTCGATGTTGAGAATGACATCAACCTGGATGCAGAATTGAGTATAGTCTGGTCGAGACCACTTGAACTCATGGAAAGCATCGTCGCATCGGCGCTGACCCGAATCACTCTAATCAGGCAACAATGTGCGGCGGTAATAAACCCGCAATCGCATCCTGTCTTGCGCACTCTCCGCAAAGGAGCGGAAGCCCCAAAGCCAAAGCCCAGAGCCCGGCGAAATAGGGTGTGGAACAAAACTATGGATTCCCGCGCCAGTTCAGCTGAGTTGCCACAGCTTTAGGCGGACTTCGCACGGCCTTTCGAGCTCGCAAGGGTGTGACGGAAGCTCTAGGTTCCGAGGAGAGATCTAGACAACCCACTACTGCCATCTGAGAGGGATACCATGTGACCTTTTTTATGGCTGTGCGGACTACATGTGTTCCATAGGACACAAGTAGCAGCGTCATGGAATCGGAAGCCGCAAAGGCCGCAGTTCAAGAGCTGGTGCTGTATCGGATCAGCCAGAGGAGGCGCCCCCCTGATCTGGCCTCAACTCCGAGAACCATCTGCTCCACGGGATAGAAGCCTGGGCTTACCGTGGGTTAGTAGGGAATGGAAGAATGGTAGTAATTGAATAGTAGTTAAAACTGTACCCCATTCCTCCATTCCCTACTAACCAAGGGTAAGTGGAGTCCGCGGGAGGCTCCGAGGGAGATGGGAGTTCAGAGGAGTCGCGAGCTCCACTCTGACACTCTCGGCTCTAGGTAGACCTCTAGTATACCTATCCTAGAGTCACTGCAGTCTCCATTGTAGTTCCTTTTTTGTGGTTGAGCAAATTTTATATGTAGGATCCTATCAGGTAACCCCCAAAAAGGAACTACAAGGGAGACTATAGGTAGAACCTAAGAAGCTACAAGATCTCTCTCTCTCTCTCTGGGAGGCTCGGGCCATCAAGGTCGCCATCGTTGGTGTTCGTGGGCAGCGAGCCGCCGTCGCTGGTGTCGAAACGCCAAGTGTTGGCACCCTGGATGGGTAGAACCTCGTCGCGCATTGAGTCGCGCTTCCGGAAGTCCGAGGAGGCAAACAAACTTAAGGCAGCTGTTCAGAAAATGTGCTGGCAGCATGGTGCCTGTCTAGGTGGATTTACCAACCACCTACTGTGGAGCCACACGGTCCCAGGGCACACAGTGACTTTCGTGCAGGAGTCAGGAGCGAGGCCCTGACCCACATGATGATGGTGTAAGGCGTATCGGCCTCTCAGGTCTCCAGGTCTCAAGCTCAAGACCACCCTTTCATCACTTCCTTACCCAGCCTGCAGGGCCACTTCCGTTGCTGGACGTCCGGGCTTGAGCGTCGCCTGCACACACCAGAAACTCCCAGATCTCACTCCTAAGCTGTTGGGAATACTCAAGCTGGTGTTTCAGACGACAAGTCCAAGCCATCTTGCCAGCTGCCCCTAACAGTCACTCAGCACGTTGCTATTTCTTACACCCACGTGTCAATTCAGAACTGCTATTTCGCCAGCCAGTGCGTACCAAATCTGAACAAAACTCATGTCCGAGGGACTCTTTAGCTGGACAACGGTGACAGTTCAGGGCAGCCTTGAGCACGACGAGTAAATTATCACAGCGATCGTGCGTGGGTGTTGGTAGCATCAAAACAGCCGGCAGGCTCAAGCGCCCGATCCCGAATGACAAGCAGCAAGAGCTCCCCAAACCCTAAACACTATATGCCCCAAAGTACTATAATTCCCAGACTAAGGACTAAAGGAGCACCAATGCTAAGGTTCAGCTCTGGCTGGCGATGGTTTCTGTCTTACACGCTTTCGCGGGGCACCCGAAGCGTGCCAAAGGAGTCGATCTCCACCTCGGCATCATGCTGTAGATGTGTATACAAAGACACGAACAGCACAACTTAGAAGCTACATATTCCGCAGCTCTGTACCATGCTTTGTTCCATTGATGTCGCCTTGCGGGTCTTAAGCTGCAGCCAGCGGATGCGGGTAATCATGCCCCTATGGGGTTTTGCACTACGCGGGTTTTGCACAAATGACAACAAGGCAGCCGGACGGCGCCCAGGTTGAAGCGAGCAAAGCACCCGGGCATCTGTAGCATTTGTAGAAACCAGCAACTGCACCGGAAACCTCTCAGATCTGCCAACCCCCCCTAGACTACCGTCGACAGTTGAGGCTCGCCCTTCCTGATTAACACCTCTGGGGTCTGTCCGGGCTCCCGGCTTGGTTTTCGATCTGGCCGATGCCGATGACGACAAAAGGGGACTGCCTAGGGCAGCCAATGGCTTAAGCTTCCGGACGGAGACATTGTGAGGTCTAGGCAGAAAAAGCGTTCCCGAGCTCCGTGCTTGAGCTGGTACTGTGCCTGACCCTGGCACGTGATGAGGAGCCTCGCTTCGAGCAAGAGGCTTCGACAGTCAATCCTGCTGCAGTCGCTGCTTCTAGCATGCATCATGAAGAAGTGATTGTGTTAAGCACTGGAGTTTGGGATCAACGGGTGGTAAGCTGCCGACCGTTCAGATGCCTGGACTGGCCGCGTGAAGGAGAGCGTGAACTCAGCTTGAGCATCCTGAGACAGCGCGGCGTCTAAAAGCCCGTTTACACGGCTGATGGCCGCCGTGTGATGCACGAGGCAACCACCAAACTCCCATGCTCCTAAGATGTCTGAGCTGGCCTTTCCGTTCCCGCTGACTTCGACCCATGACCCGGCCCTCCCTCCCTTGTCAGTCCTCCAAGACGCGTGGTCTGAAGAGCTGCTTGACAGGGTTTGCTGCTGCCGCAACCTGGTACCTCGGCCACAGTCAGGATGATAGCAACATAGCAGTCGTACTCAGCGTTAACCCGTTCGTGCCAACCGAAATGAAAAGCACACACAATGACATGCTTGCATGCACACATACACACACGCACACCGACACCGACCGACACATACATACACATGCACACACGAGCATGAACATCCATACACATGCATACAGACACATGCACATACATACAGACTTCCGGCTTTAGTTTAGGATTTACTTGCCTCGAACCCTATACCCTATATCCTGAACGCCACAAAGCCGCGGAAAACCCTGCTACAGTAGCTCTACAGCCAGGACCTCCAACCACCCATGACCCTAGCGGCCCACAAGGTCGATCAACAATCCCAATCAGATACGATGCTACACTACACTGCAGTTTTGATTTTGATATGACCACCAAGGAAAACAGTTTGGAAGCGAAGATGACGGTCTTGTATGCATGTGCGTAAGTTTCAGTCACTGCCCTAACCAACCAACTCTTGATGTGAAGTCGCACGGCGCAGTGATGTGCTTGTCTGCTTTCACCAGCCATGTGAAGGTCTGCAAAACATACATGCCCGAAACTTATTCCAAATCATCTCCTGAGTGTCTGGCTGGCTCTTGAGCACGGGAGTGCCCTGCACCGTGATCCTGGGCATTTCAGGCTGTATTACCATATAATATCGGATAAGGTTTATAACAACATAGTAAGGCATAGCATAGCATAACATCGTATGCCACATTATGGACTCGGGCTTGCCTGATAAGGGCATTGACGGAAGTTGGGCGGGCGGTGTTCTAAGCCGGGTTTTGGGAGTCTTGTTTGGAGGGCCTTCCGTTTCGGAAGCTTCGTTGTGGCGGGCGGTCGGCAGTTGGGGGGGTGGAAAATCTACGAATCCAGGGAGCCGTGGTTGTTTCAGTCTTTCGCCGCAATGCACGCCCCTAAGGTCTGGCTCAAAAGAGCGCATGTCTGAACGAAGACGGCGCAGGGGCCGGGGTTTTGTGGTCTCACGCACTGGTCGATCTTGATGCCTCGAAGGGGATGCCTCCACCCATGAAAACCCTGCAATACTTGCTGCTCTTGCAGATTGCCAGATTCACCAGTCGCCCTGTACAAACCCAGCACGAGCGGAGCCGCTGCAATTGGAGTTCTCAGATAAGGAGCTGGATTCTATCTTGCGGAACCAATAAATCTTCAAGAAACCAACTCTACAGCGATGTCCTGAAGTCAGTAAGGCTTGTTTTTGCGTCTGTTGGGCAGATAGAAGAGAGGAATGCAGGCTGTTTTTGACTACTTCATCGGTTCTGGTTGTCGTCGTACCTTGCTTGAGTAACTGTAGTCGCTGATCCGAGCTTCCCTTCGCCGGGGCCCGGGCAGGCCAGGCAGTCGGAAACCACCATCGAAATCCAACTTCTCGTCCTTTGGAGGTGCCGGGTGGGTTCGCTTGACGGGGGCTAAGCCTGACATAGGCGGTCTAGTTTCTCCGCGCGGAGTGTTAATCAGAATGTAAGTCCTTGTAGTAGAGCTTTGGAGATTAAGGTTCACCTGGTTCAGTTAAGGCTGTGCACTTCTCTTCTTCGGTATTCAGTTCGAACGAATGTGGTTGGGGATTCGGTTTGGCTAGCTGGGCTAGCTCAACATACCGCAGAAGGCAGCGATCATGGAGATCATCTTCTTTCGAAGCAGCGCTGAGAGATGAGGTTCCTGTGCTATGCCTCCTGCACAGGAACGGGCTGCAGTTGTTTACGGGTTAAGTACTATAAATCAGGATCAAGCTGCTGCATCGTCTGCCTCCATCTACCTCTGTGACTTCGGCAGCTGAGTTCGACGCCCTCTTCTCCGTTCGCGTCTCGTCTCTGTACGTGATCAGATTGAACCGAGTCCTGAGTTAGCCGTGATGTTCTGCTAGCGGCTAGCGTTGCCCCATGATGGCAGAAGCATGTCGTGAGAGTCTCACGCAGGAACTGGAGCGCAAATGTTGTTTGCTAGTTGACACAGCATGGGGTTGGGCATTCACACAATGGAGTAAGCATCCTGGACACTTTCGTCGTAGTAGCAAAAGCCGTCGGCAGCGGTGGTGGTGGTGGTGGTGGTGGTGGTGGTGGTGACGTGAGAGCACCAACAGCAGCAACACAAGCACGCGCACAGGGTCTAGGGCAGAGCTCGTCAAGCGTCTCGATCCCCTTCTACTGAATTCTGAGCACGCTGCTGTCCACCCGCACGCCCGAGGCGCACCGTGTTGATCCGGATGGTGGCCGTAATGCCGGCCCGGAAGGCTGACAGAAGGATTGCAAAATGCTGGCGCACTTTTGCTGTCCGCATACATTAATATCAGTGAAGAATCCTTTCAGCATCTGTTTGACTGTCGTGCAGGCCTTGTCGCCTATACGATCTCCGAATCTGCTTGTGACTGTCGCCAATGCAACGGTGAATAATGTTGCTGTCGTGGCAGGCTGTGCTGGTGCGAATTGTTGCTTTCCTTTCAGCCAACTCATAAAAATGCGCCGCTACTTATGGTTGTAATGTCGCATCCAGTCAGCCTCCACGGTTGATGATGAGAGTCGCGCCCTCACCTGGGCCACAAAGCCAGGTGCTTGGTGGATGCATTCGAGCCATCGATTCCCTAGACCTGGAAGCACAGGGTGCCTGCAGGCAGTGAGAAGGGACCCTCTGCAAGATGCACTGCTCGGGTTTGGCTTCAGGTAAACAGGTGAACCCAGGACCCACACTTTATCTGGCCGAACACTAACCCTAAACGGCCCTAAACCCTAATCCCTACGAGTACCACCCAAAGAAGGCCGTAGGCCCAGTCAGAGACGCCGAGTCTGCTGCTCTGGCCATCGATGTCATATGGCAGGGCCACCTGGTGGACAAGATCGACTAGGCTCAAAGGTTGTCGTCTGAGGACTCGGGATAGGGAAAAAGGTCTGAGACTTAAGGCTTTTTTGTGGGGATGGTCGGACTCGTTGAGTGCACTCATCAGGCATGCATGTCCTCAGTGGATGCATTGCATCCATTCGTCAGGGAGCCCATCCAGGGCTGCGAGCAGCTCTCCTGGGGGTCCTATGGTATTGGGACAGAGGATGTAGCGATCTGCACAAAAGTACGCTGTCCAATGTCCGTTGCCAACGGTGACGGCGCTTTGCGCTCGTCCAAAATTTGCAATCCGTGCCAAAACCAGCACAAGATCGCGGAACTTAGCAGGTTCCTGGAGCACAATAATCGGCAGATCCTCGCAGTCTAGATCATCGAAAGCACGGGTTTGGAGGATTGCGTTTACTGCGCTAGTGAGGTCCGTAGACTTGCGGTGAAAGCACTGCATGAGCCTCTCGAGAGGGGCTCGCCACGGTGTGCGCGGAACCGGGGCAGGAGGCACCGTAGGTGGCGGGTCCATGGTGGCCCACCAGGGGCTCGGTCCGTGGACTTTGGCGGCTGGCTGCCATGCCCGGGCCGGGCCGGTCACGCAAACAGAGTGGGTGATGTCGGCCTCTTCATAGGTCCGCAGGCAACGCGCAGCCTTTTTAAGATGCTGGCGCAATCTCGCCGTCGTCCAGAATTCGGTGCCGCAGCTCTGACACATGCTGCCGTCGGCAACTGCAGTGGCACGGGCAGGCAGTCCATGCACCTTGCGCTGGTGTGCCGCACAGGCTGCCGTGGAGCCAAAGCTCTGCGCACAGGTGGGGCACGCAAAAGCTGACGCGCGGCCATCGGTGCATCCGGGAAGTCGCCCAAAGATGCATCCTGCCGCTTGCGCCGCCTGCAAGGCACGGAGTTGCTTGTGTCGCGCAGGCTTGAGAAGTAGGCGGCATTTTTTGCAGTGGCGGAGGTAGCGCCGGATGAGAATCTTTGCAGTATCAGGTTGAGCCCGGAGGTCCCCTCGCAGGCTCTCCCCACTCTGACCAAGTGCGGCTCCAACGGCGTCAAAAGCCTGCTGTAGGTCAGCATGCCACACATGATTTCGAAACCAAAGATTGCTCAGGTCAGCGTTGTCCTCGGCATAGATCCAAGCTGCCAGGCGTAGCATTTCCGCCCATCGCATCTCCTCCGCCGTAGCTAAGCCGAGCAGGGTCGCGACATCCAAATTGGAAAGGCCCTTGACCGACATGCCCGTAATAGCTCTGAAGAGACGTCGCGGTGCCTCGTAGTAGGCCGCAACAAATTGGTCCCTTTCTTGGCGAGTCTCCAGTGACCACATGCCAGCACCGTGCTTGTATCTGGCCATGGGCATGGACTGGAGCAAATGTATTCGCTCGGTCTCGGTGAGTTCGGAGTTGCGAAACAATTTGCCCAGTGGGCCGGTCATTTCTCTGGCCAAGGATGCCCGTCTCTTCATGTCAGACAGATCTGAGACACCGACCTCTATGCGAGAGCCTAGGTGGACGTAGGCATCGGTGAGGCCAACCTGGATGCAGGTGCCATCTGGCAGGTCCACCCTAAGGGAGGCACCACTCTCGCAGATCCAAGTACGCTTGGCCGCATTGCTGCGTGGCCCTCGGAACATTGGCACGATTTCCGTCTTCCCTGGATCAAGATTGAGCTCGATACCGAGGGCTCGGAGCTCCTTGACAAGTTCCCGGACCGCAAAGATCGCAGTATCGATCAAGTGGTCTGGATTTGGGGACGCCAGGGGAATTGTCAGATCATCGACCCAACTTGGGAACGGAACGGCAAGCAGGGTGTCCAGGTTTGCCTGGTTTTTGGCACGAGCGCCTATATCCCTGCAGACCTCTTGAACCTTCTCCTCAAGCCTATTCATGGCTCCCGCAAACAGGATTTGAAACTCAATGTCTGCAATGGGGCTGCCAGGGGCCGTTCCGGTGCGAGTGCTGAAGAAGTGGGTTTTACCCTGGCCTGCAATGCTAAACCACGTCCCTTGCAGCATAGCTGAAAGGACTCTGCGGACGGGGCCGGGAACTCCCTGTTGCTGGAGGAGTCCAGGGCCGACTGTGGAAGCAATGAAGGCAAGACGATCCTCCTGGCTGTCGTAAAGATCTTCAGCAAGACGCTGGAGGAAGTCAGCAGTGTCGCCACCTTCCTGGCCCAGAAGCGCCTGTCGTGCCGTGGCATAAAATGCTGCTCGGCAGTCCACAAAAAGCAGAGCACAGTTGACCCCAGCGTCCCTGGCCAGGCGGGCAAAGCCTTTGGCTAAAGCCATGGGAATGTGAAGTGGATTTTTGGGTCGCCCGCCGCACTGGCCTGCCGACCTGAGGCTCTCAAGGCATTGCACCAATGGTGCGCGCAGCGCCTTGCAGACGCCCTTCATCGACGCCTCATGGAGAATGATGCTCCTCCACCCTGCCAAGTCACTGGGGCACTTGGAGGGCTTTGGTATAGGCACTGCTCTGCCACCGCGCCACAAGGCCGGTGCCTTGCCGGTGGCCTGTGCCTTGAGCAGCACAGGGTAATGGGCAGCAGCCGCTCCGAGGGCGTCGCCGCTGAGAGCCTCAGGTGGTATGCCTGAGATCCCAGCGGCACGCCGGGACTGCAGTCGGCCGTAACCATGTGCAAGGGCCGAAAGGGTGAGTTCACGGCTTGCTTCTAGGAAAGCCTCAGGCGCTGGGACCGGCTGAGTGTGAATGTCCGCAGCACTGCACTCAAGGGCACGTTCAGCTCTCGCAAAGCTTCTCCCCAGCATGAGGTAGGGATCGTTCTGATGCGCCTCGGCGCCTTTAATGCAAGGGCAGAGCGCCGGAGGTCGATATCTGCGTCCCTGGCGGAGCACGTTGCGGAAGGCCTGGTAGAGCTGCTCCGGCCCCTGGGCCCTGGCTTCCTTGATGAGTTGCCGCGCGGCAACTGTCGCATCCTCACGTGTCCTGCGCCGGATGCTGGCGGAGATGTCGCGGAGCTGTGTGACAAGGAGAGCCTCATACATGCAGGCTAAACTATCATCTGCTGGCGTCGTGTTGCGCGCCCAGGCAGCGAAAGTAGCGGCAAGAAGGCGCTGGCGGCGCTGAGAAGCACAGGCATGCAGCTCTCTGCGCACAGCGCGACGGTCACACACGAGCTGCCAGGTAGCTTCTTGGATAACCGGAGACCGGGGCCCTTGTGGTTGAGCAGGGAATGCTCGTAGAAGGGCTGCCATGAGGTACTCATTGAGGCGCCTAAGATGGTGGTCCACCGGGAGATCCCAAGAGAAGTGAGGAAGGCGGTCGTAGATTTGCCGAAGTTTTGCCCGGCCAGAAGGCGTGAGCATGGCTTTGGTATCAAGCCTTGGCCGCGCTCGTCTTCGCCTCACCTGCCTGTGGAAGGAAATTCTGGCGAGCACAGGGCGATGGTCAAGGTCATTTTGCCCATGAAAGTCGGCAAGACAGCCTAGCACCTCAAGGCCTTGTTGCAAAGAATCAGGGCAGGCAATGTAGTCCAGGCATTTAGGCCGCTGGAGGGGTCCAAGCCAGCTCTCAATCTTGCTGCCATCTGACATCGAATTGGCCGTCGCAACAAGTTGCTGCTCATGGAGAAGCGCTGCGAAGGCTTCCGCATTATGATTGAGTGCTGTGGCAGGTCCCGGCGCTGCTGGGCTCCAGGTGAAATGAGCATTTGCATCCACCATTAAAATGGGGCAGTGGTTGGCAGGGGCTCTCCGAAAGGCCGACTGGAGTTCAGCCCACCAATCTTTGCATTCTTGTTCTGAAGCTTTTGATGTGGGCGCATGAGCAGTGATGAGCGCAAAACAAAGGGAGGCGGCCCGGGCCGTAGCCACTAGAATTCTGGGAGTAGCCCAAACGATGGCGAAGGTGCCCGGATCCCAGTAAATCGCGCCTTTTTTATCGTGCCCAACTGGCTCAGTTTTTGACAGCCACAGCTGACAGCCGTCAGCTCCTGCTTGAGCAGGGCTTGCTAGCACGTGGAAGTGGGCTGTGGAGCTCCGTCCAGTACACTCTGCCCGAGTTTCCTGGATGCCGATTAGGCAGAGGCCAGCTGCAGCAAACTGAGCATCCAAGCTTTCCTTTTGCAGAATGGACGCCAAAGTTAGACTGTTGTATGTTGCGACCTTGAGGCTGACTTTGGCGGACTGCTGCGGGAGCTCGTCAACAAAATCGTGGCCGTGGCCCAGGTGGGTCAGTGGGGCTTCGACGGCACTGGTGGATGCAAGAACCCCATCGGCTCCTACATAAGGAAGATCCCGGCACATATTAGATGCAAAAGCAAGCCAGGGCAGCACATCCTGTCTGCTGGCAGTGACAAGGTTGTAGGGCACCATGGAGGTGTCCAGGCTGCGCGCGTAGTGCTTTGCTATGCAATCTGCGAGTTCATTGAAAACGTGGCCGGTATGCGAAGGAATGTGCAGCCTGGAAGGCATCCTTCGCTGAACCCTCAGCAGGTGGGCGATTGCCATTCCAGCATGGGCAAGTGCGGTAGGGACGGCCTGTGTCGCCTCGCCCGTGGCTATCTGCATCGCTGACTCATTGTCAAACCCGATCATGGCCGGTGTGGCGGACTGCCAAACAAAGGCCAAAGCAACGACAGCCGCAGTTAGCTCGGGTTCAAAAGAGGAGCGGACTGCCGTGTCGAAGGTGGCTGCTGATCCTGCAATAGGTGCGTGTGCAGCGCAGTAGCCCACCCATCGCCACTGGCCTTGTTGCAAGCCAACAACGCACACGGCCCAA